GCCGCTCACTGAGCTGGAAGCCCCAGGCTCCTTTGCTCTGCTCCCTGAGCTGCGGCTTAGTCCCAGAACCCGAAGGTCTGTCCCTGCTGGGATTAGTGCCCTGAGCATGAGGAAATGCAGGGTCAAGAAATAGAAGAACCGGGCAAGTGGTTGCAGCAGCAAGTGAAAGGACAAAAAGGTGCCACCTTCAAGAAGGATCGGGCGAGTAGAATCACTAAGATAATAGTAAGAAGAAGGAGAAGGAAGAGGAAAAAATAGCATTTACTGAGGATTTAGATGTGCTTATATGTTTCAGTAGCCGTTACCACACATAACCCTGGCCTATTGGTACTAATATTACCTCTGCTTCATAGACGCAGAAACCAAAGTTTGGAGAAGATGAAGAACATGTCTGTAGTCACACAGTGAGTAAGTAACAAAGCACAGACCTGAGCCCACATCTGTCTGTTCCAAAAACCTGGACTTTCGTACAATTGGTGACCCTGCTGTTGGGGACAGTTAAGGGCCCAAGTGGGCTAAAGCTGAGGGAGCTTGGTCCTTTGTTTGAGGAGCCTCTCCTCCTTGGTGATTCTACCTGTGCCAGAAGTTGCTGCACAGCCTGATTTTCCAGCCCCTGTGTGTACCATGCTCTAGAAGGCCAGGAACGACAGGAATATAATGAGTTACTTGGCTGCCGGGATGCTTTGCCCTAATCCCTGGGTCAGTGTGTCCCTAGCATTGTGTGCCTTTGGGAGGTTTTGCCTACTCCTCCCAGACTTCATCTTGCATCTTCTCCACCGCCTGCCCTGCTTCCAGCTCAACCTAGCCTTGCTCTTCGCCTCCCAGGGAGGCCTGATGACAAGCAGGGTGTCCTCCAGCCCCCTGCTGCTCAGAGTGTGGCCCATGGGCCAGCAACTGGAACATCACTGGAGCGCATCTCAGAAATACAGAATCTAAGGGCACGCCTGCCCTTCTGAGTCAGAAATGTTATTTGAATAGATGACTCAGATGTCCATTCAAGTTTGAGGAGCCCTGGCCCCGCCCATAATATACATCCTTTTTCCCATCAGGAGTGCATTGCCAGTGTTCCTGTTCCTCCTATGGAAACCTGATCTCAAGCAAATTGTAAGTTGGTGTTTGTTTCCTCTCTCATCGTTGGCCTTTTAACAGCTTTAGCCTCAGCTAAAGGAATTCCAGGCTTGGTGAACAGCCTGCTCTACATCCGGAAACGACACCATGCCCACGGCTGCCAAACCATCTCTACAGAAAGCTGAGCGTGTTTCTCTTGCAATGGACTCTATGTCTTCTCCATGCTGTGATTACAGACCAGTTTGGGGAGCAAAATAAGTATCTTCAAGTAGCCAAATTACAATCTATTTGTGCAAGCCTATCTTCTATGGGATAACATGTCGTGTAAGAAAATTCAGCATAGAACATACTCTATTAAGCCCCAAATGTTCTCCAAAGTAAGCAATAACTCTTAACAAAAACAGAAATAATGGCTAGGAAGAGGTACAACGTGGGTGGCAAGGGGTCTTTGGAAAGAATGCTTTGAGGAGACATTATGAGTCATGATCTGACTGCTTAGGACGAATCCCTATGTATTTAGAAATGAACCCACACTCTGCTATCAACACACCCATTATTTTTCCTACTGTTACTGGAAACATTTAAAAGTAAAAAAAAAAAAAAATCTGGGAGTGAAACAATACAATAGCTATAGTGAGGCCTTATAATTAAAAGATATATTTGCCCTAAAGGGGGGAGGTGCGAATCAGTAATAAAAGAAAATAGCTGAGTAAGAGCAGGCTTTTTGTCCATTATGTATTATTAAAGGAACATTATAACCTGGCATGCTCGCCACAGGCCCTGGTGCTTGGTCATTCAGCTTGACGTTGCATATTGCTGGAACAATTCACTTAGAAAGAAACAAAATTCAAAACTGAGCCACACCAGCTAACAAAGCTTGAATGGTTTCTACAGAATTGCAGTATGCTTCCCGAAATGACTCAAAAATATCATTTAACACTATAAAATAAGAAACATTTCTATATGAATATACAAATATACAATGTTTCAGGCTTTGGAGAATCATTAAGTAAGGTAAAATATGTCTTGACAGTTTATTAAGTGGCAACCAAATGTATGACTAGAATGAAAACAGAGATTTTATTTTACTGTTTCATTAATCTATTGCATGTACTCATCTACAGCCTTTTTGTTTAAGAAAAAAAAAAAAAGGTGGAGGGGCGCCTGGGTGGCTCAGTCGGTTTAGACATCTGACTCTTGATTTCAGCTCTGGTCATGATCTCAGGATAGTGAGATCGAGCCCAGAGTTGGGCTCCATGATCATCATGGATTCCCTCTCTCTCTCTCTCCCTCTCTCTCTAATAAATAAATAAATAAAATCTTTTAGAAAAAAGAGAAAAGATAGGGAGGGTTATAAAGCTCTAAATCCTAAAGGATGTAAAGAAATTAATAAAAATGAAAAACAAACATAAATGAGTAAAAGGAAAATTGTTGGTAGGGATGAACTGTTAAGCCCATAATGCAGTTGGCACACAAAATGCAGGTCATGACGCTCTATGCACTCGCATGGCAGAGCCAGAAATTTGCCTCTAGTAGCCAATATAAAGAAGGAAACTGGACCCCAGGATCCATATGCTTCGTTTCGGTTTTTAATGCCACTTAGAAGTGTAACAATTTGGGGGACTAAAATAGTCCCCCAAATAGTTGGGGGAATCTCATATGGATCCTCACAAGGGAACACTGTGGAAAGTGATGGACAACATTCTGAGCAAGGGACAACAGTTACAAGCAAACACCGAAAATGACCGAAAGCCCAGCTTTTCATTATGTCTTCAATATGCTCCAAGTTAAAAGTGATACATATTTTAGTATCTATTTCATATGTATTGCTTTTGGTATGTGAGGGACATCTGCAAATCAGGCAGATAGTAGAAAGGGACTTTCTGCATCCCCAATTCATTCACACATTAAACATATATTCACTGAATTATTTCAATGCACCAGGCATCCTCCATAGCAAGGAACAGAACGCCATTGCTTATTTCATAGTCATAATTCAGTTAAGCTTGGGAGCTTCCTCTCTCTCTCTCTCTCTCTCTCTCTCTCACACACACACACACAGACACACACACACACACACATTATATGTACTTTTTAAAAACTTCTGCTTAGTCACCTCCTCAGTAATTCCCTTTCATTCTTTCAGAGATGACAATTGAGGGATTTTGGTAAATTTCAGTCACTTGAAAAGCCTCCTTCACAAGTCAGAGTGCTGGGTGTCACTCAGAGCTCAGCGGGAGACAGAGGACTCTACTAGAATGAAGTCATTGGGTAGAGTTTAATCAATCAGCTGTTTGCAAAGGAGTGGGCAGGGGTGATGGTGAAGCCCCTCGGAGCTAACGACATCTGAGAGCTCTCCCCACCATGGATCTCAAGGGCAAGGAGAGGAAGCAGAGCCTGGAGCCAAGACAGGGCTGTTGCTGTAAGAGCAAGTTGCCAGCCAGGAGCCAAGAGCCTCAATAGAAGACCTGCAATCCTGCAATGGCAGGGCTGGGGGCGGGGGGGGGGGGGGGGGGCGCCGCCCGCGAGAATGGGAGAGAGGAGAGAGCTCGCGCTGAGGGCCGTGGCCGCCGCGGTAGCGGTGGGGAGGAAAGGGGACCATCTAGGTCACAAGAGGGCTCGGGGCCACATCTTAAATAATTAATAAATGTATCTGGAACGGCACAACCAAATTCAAGCCAGGGAAGAGTCTTAAGGTCACAGAAATGAGAGGCAGACTTTTCAGGAGGGGACACAATGGGCATTAATATCATTGAAGAAAAATTGCAGTCCGGGGTCTAGAGTGTGGCCCATGGGCTGTTTGGTACTCGTCTACAATGAAACAAGGACAGAAATGCGGAGGAAGCATGTCAAAGCCTTTCTAACAATTCGGAAGAATAAGTTGTTTTGTATCTAGGTTTTTTTAAGATTTTATTTATTTATTTATTTGGGAGAGAGAGCACGTGTACACTTGAGCAGGGGGAGGGGCAGAAGGAGAATCTCAAGCAGACTCAGTGCTCTGAGCTCAGAGCCCACGGCGGCAGGACTCAATCTCAGGACCCTGACCTGAGCCGAAATCAAGAGTCGGGAGGCTCAACGGAGCAGCAAGGGTGGGAGCTGCCCAGGCTGAAAATGAGCAGGATTTTCAGGGACGGGGATGTGAACAGGCCGTGGGTTGGGTGGTGGTTTGTGTAGCTGTGTGGACAGTGGGGGTGGGGAGGCATGCATGCACAAAAGTGGGCAGGAAAGCAGCATCCAGGACTGCGTGGATGGCTGGCCAGGAGAGTAAGGGATTGAGTTTAAACGGGCATGTGTGCAAGCCATAGCAACCCCACTAACCAGGGCAAGCCAGGGCAGCCCAGGGAAGGTGTCAGACCCACCTGTCCTAAACGCCAGGCCTTTCAGGTCCAGCCATGCCCAGGCCTGAGCAGTGTGAGGGAGATGCCCTCACCCTGAAATGCAGGAATTTGCAAAATTGCTGCCCTCCACCCCGGTCCCTCAGCCCTCACTCCTCAGGCGGGCGGGAGGAGGCCGGACGCTGCCTTCCACGCCCTCCAGCTCCCCTCGGCCAGGCCCTGGGGCCTGCTCTCTCACCCTGCGCTAGCTGCCCCACGGCTCCGCCCGCCTGCACCCTCTGGCAGAGACTCCAGCCTGAATTCCAGCCACTGGGGATCTCAGATATCCCCAACCGGAAAGAGAATGCTGCCACCTCTCCCAGCCCCCGGGGGCCCTGGCCGCGGCCCGCCCCCTCCATCCCTCCAGGGGGCTCAGGACACTGTGTGCTTGTAACAGGCCCTGTGGGAGGGATGAGGGACGAGAGTCTGCTGAGCTAGGACAACTGTGAGAGGCAGGCGAAAGAACCAAATGTTCCACCCCAGTTATTCTATGAGGTTGAGAAACGACAGAGGTAAACATACCATCTTGTTGCTCAAGGTGCTTGAAACCTATGGAACGGAGCATGTCATGGAGGATGGACTGAGTTGGGAATTCCTCACCTGTAAAATGTTCACAAGGGTGGTTTGAGAGTCAAAGAGAGAAGTGCAAATAGCCCAGGAGCTTGCTGTTGAGTCAGAGAGACAGGAGCCTGAAGCATCCTTGTCTGCAGGCTACACGGCCAAGGAATCCACCTGTGTAAGCACAGCGGGAACTGCACGACCACTGGGACCTGGGGAAACGGGACCGGCCCCTCTCGTCTGGAGGGCACTGTAGGACTCCTGGGGAGGTACGCCATCCACACCGCCTGCACCAGGAGGCCACCCATAGGTCCGGCTGTGGCCAGGCAGACAGCCTGGTCTTCGTGGAACTGAGCCTCCTTGGGGAGCCCTGACCTTCCCAACCAGCTCCATGGGGCACCACTCTGGGGCTGGGCGGGGACAGCCAGGGACACACAAGCACAGCACCCCTCCTGAAGGCCGGTAGTGACCACGAGAAGAGGTGCTGGTTTGATTCGGCTTAAGTTTTTCCCTAAAGGAAAGAAACACATGGGGCGCCTGGGTGGCTCAGATGGTTAAGCATCTGCCTTCGGCTCAGGTCATGATCTCCAGGTCGTGGGATCGAGCCCCATGTCAGGCTCCCAGCTCAGCAGGGAGTCTGCTTCTCCCTCTCCCTCTGCTTGTGCTCTGTCTCTCTCTCTCTCTCAAATGAATAAATAAAATCTTTAAAAACAAACAAAAAAAGGGGGCGCCTGGATGGCTCAGTCGTTAAGCGTCTGCCTTCGGCTCAGGTCATGGTCCCAGGGTCCTGGGATAGAGCCCCGCATCGGGCTCCTTGCTCACCGGGAAGCCTGATTCTCCCTCTCCCACTCCTCCTGCTTGTGCTCTCTCTCTCTCTCGCTGTCTCTCTCTCTGCCAAATAAATGAATAAAATCTTTAAAGAACAAAAAAAAAAAAGGAAAGAAACAATGGGAGAATGTAAAGTGAAAAAGCAAAAGTGAAGCGAAACATAGAAATTGGAATAGGGAAAGAAGGGCCTTCAGGAAGACAAGAGTAAAGGAAGGTCGTTTGGTTGCATACAGGGGCTGCAGGGTCACTGAGTGGAGGCGGGAGCCGGGCTCTATGGGGCTGGAAGTCAGCAGGCAGAGGGAGGGGGCATTGGGCCCAAGGACTCCCCCGAGACATTGTATTTAACTTGAGCTTTCATTGGAACCATGGTGAAGAATTTGTGAAATTCAGTTTTTCCTTAAATATGCTTGCCAATAATAGTAATAGGAAAACTGCCATGATTTAAAGCCAAAATATGCCTGAAATCACAGAAGGTTCACAAGGGAAGAAACATAAAATAGTTTTCAAGATTAGCTGAGGAATAAAATAGGCTCTTTAAAAAAAATCAATTTCCATTTACTGGGCATTTTTCTGGTTCTGTTGACTTTTAAAGATCTCTAGCAGGCCGACCTCACTCAGGATGAAGTGGTCAGAAGTTTGTATTGGGGGATGGAGGACATCAAGAAAATGCCAAGTGAGCTTTTTCGTCAATACCTCAAATCTCACCAAGAATAATTGTTCCTTTTGTCTTCTCTATACCGAACTCTTCTGTTTTTCCCAAAAAGGAAGTATCTTCCCAATTAGCTTTATTATCTTTATGTACAAGCTCATTGAAAAAAATAGACATAATAACTAATATGGACTGAGCTCTTACAGCATGTGAGGCATAATTTTAAAAGTTTTTTCTATATTACCTTCGTAATTCCTCCCGACAACCCTACAGGGTGGTACTAGGTTCATCCCCAAATTTCAGATGAAGACATTAGAGAAGCCCTGGAGACAGTAACTAGACGGTCTAGTGTCACACAGCTTGAAAGGTGTGAAGCCAGATTTGTACCTAAGAAATAATACAGAGCATCAATATGAACTACACTGTAAATGGGATTTACAGAGGAAAGTAAAAATCACCAAATAATCCCACCATCCAGAGAAAAGCATTCTTAGCATTTTAGATTCTCTCTTTTCTGACTTTTTTCTGTGCTTATATACACAAAGAAAATGAAATCATACCATACTATATACGCAGCTTACATAACAGTTTGATTTCTCTTCTTCACGACTTAGCACAGACATTTGTGTCAGTAAAAATCCCGTCAGTGGCATCATTCTGATGGCTGACAATCCACTGCATGAATCAGTCCCCTTTTATTGGACCTGAGATTGTTTCCCAGTTATGTTATATGAACAATGCTCCCGAGAATACCCTTGCTCAAATATTTTGAGCATTTATCTCATTGTTTCCTTAGGTTAAACTCCTAGCAGTAGTTCCATGACAAAAATAGAGAGTAATTTTTCTTTAAAATGCAAATATTCTCGGATGATACAACATCAGCACAGAGTTTCCAGAACTTTAGTGTGAATATATTTATATACTTCACTCGCTTAGAAGAAATAAAGCAGTGTAAGCTTATTGGAAGCACAGAAAAGGAGAGAAGGAAGTGTGTCGATAATGATTTCTCTAAGTAATAATAATAATATTCCACGTTTGTCTCATGCTTTTCGAGGGTCAGAGCACATTCACAAACATCATTCACAAGCATCTCTAACCATAAGTTTCACTCAGGGGTCAAGGCCTGATTTCCCAGACATTATTTCCTCTAATAGTGTTTAAATATCTTGGAACCTATTGACTTACATATATTATCGGTGCTATTTGAGATAGTGATCCACAGAGCTAAACAAAGTTGGCATCTCAGGGATTCCAGTCTATTGCTCTGGATCCACGCAGCTTCCTTGAATTTTTCACATATAAAGAGAACATTCCAGATTGCAAGCCTCTTCTTAATGTATAAATCCCTTAAAAGGCACTTTAAAGGCAATTAACACTGTTTAGGTTACTAAGCAATTAACATTTTTAGGTTACTACATAAAGAATAAAGAAATAGCATAAAGAATAAAAATGAAAAAAATGAAAAAATTCAGAAAAAGAATAAAATTGCATCCCCAGTAGCCCAGGAGATTTTGTTGGTCCCTATTCTATCCACTAACAAATAATTTGCTTTCAAAGGTTGAGTCTCATGATTATATATGTCTGTTAATAGAATACAAATTACAAATTTGTTCTGAGTAAAATCTTTATCTTCTAATGATGTTATAGCTGTAGAACACTTAAATGGTGTTGCAAAGAGACCCAAATGTCGTAAGTGGAACCAACCGTGTAGTTAATTACAGAGCCAAGGCTGGTCTACCCTATCCTAGAGATTTGGTCTCACAGCAACATACTTCCACTAGTACTATACTCTGGGAAGTTCAGACTAACCCTGAGTCATCCTTGTTTCATTCTACATTCACTTGGTATATTTACTGAGCATCTACTATGTGCTGAAAATCGTGCAAGATGCTGGCAGCAGGACACCATATAGTGAACAAAACAAGACACAGTCCCTGTCTTTCTGAAGCTCTTGGTCTAGACAATTCCTGGAATCTAGAAGTTCGGGTCAAATCTAAGAGTCATCCACTTTCTGGATGGAACTACATCCACCCAGAGACCCAACTGAGTCAGGCTTTTAGTGACCTTGTCCACCTGGCATCCCTAGAACCAATTTAATCTCCAAAATGCCTTAGCCCAAGAAGAGGCAGAAACCAACCCAGGCCTTCCTACCATCTGAGTCAGAACTGACAAGGGCTACAAAGAATGTTTTGGATTCATCCGCCAAAGTCTCATAAAAGTTAAAAGAAGGCAAGGGAAAAAAAAGATCCTAGGCCTTCTACATACTAAATTCACTCTCAGATGGTTGGATACTGTGTTTGCCCTTGGCCCCTGGGGACTTCACCAACTATGCTGAGTTCATGAAAAAAGAGAGTAATGGCACATTTCTGTGTGACCTATTTTTTCTTTAAAAGTTATAATGCTTTTTCCTTTGTTACTCTTAATCTGAAAGCATTAGAACCATTTTCTGAATTTTCTACTTATTGCACTCTAAATACCTTTTTCCTAGTGTTTACTTGTGCAGACACCTATAGGGTGCTCAGAGTCTCAGCCTAAGCCCCCTTTCTTCCCTGCCTTCATTCGGGTCCTCTCTAAACCCAGCTCTGAGACAAAGACTGGGTAGTTTATTTGGGAGTAGATCTCAAGAAGCATAAATGGGAAGCAAGGGGGACACAGAGGAGGGAGAAAAGCCAGCGGCTGATAATTCTAGTGGAGATACTCTAAAGAACTGTCCCTTGGAGAGGCAGGGAAATAGGGAATTTTTCCACCAATTCCTCTTCCTCCTGGGTTGAGGGATGCCCCTGGGGACATTAAATCCTGTACTTCCCAGCTGGTCTGTACGCAGGCTCAGAAGCTGAACTCATTATATTTGGCCAGATGAGATGAAAGTTTCCTATAAAACACTGTGTTCTGATTCTAAAACTGATGAGTACAGCATCATTGAATGAACTTCAACAGCCTGAGAAAATATAACTATCTCTAGTGAATCACAGAAACTTCCTACGTTTGCCTCCTTGTAAGGGGGACACTGTCCTTCAAGACCGAGCCCGGAAAGTGATGATTTCTTTATTTGCCAAACTGTGTTGTCCAAGAAAAACGACCAGGAAAACCACCAACTAGTCCAAAAGGACATGGAGAAAAGTGACAACAGAAGCTGCCAAATTGACTACAGCACATCGAAATCAAATGTCAGTTCTCAGTAGCTGGGAAAAAAAAAAAAAGTGACATGGTAATAACAAGTTTAGGGCCTACAGTTTATGTCCCAATCATGCATCAAAATTCACACTTCCAAAAAAAAAAATTCACACTTCCCTACATCTAAGGTCTGTAGGTCACTATTCAGTTATTCAGTGACACTTTCATGGCTAATTTCAGCAAAAAGAAGAAAATACAGATCTCGCCAAGGGGGCATACATTATGAATCTTACTAGACCAAACCTACTTGTTAGAGCACACATTGCTTCAACACCAAGAGGAAAGAAATGTCTTCAGTCTGACATCATTGATGTTGCTCTTCCTATTTCTGGGCTTTTCCAGAGTATTTTCTACAGTACTGTATATAGTGTTTTCTAGAGGAGCAGAAGTA